ACCCCAACCGATGGGAAATAAAACGATGTTTCGAATGAATTAAGAATAATTTCCTGTTTATTGTAGTATGTATTTTCAAAAAGGATTATGGGAAAACAAAAGGCCTTCAGATCTAACAAAAGTGCGTGGTAAGTAGGTACATAAATAAGTTATTTTTCTCCCTTGCCCCGCTCAAGCATGCAAATATAGTTTTTGTATAAAAACAATCACGCTACTTGGCGCTTGTGTAAGCAAACAACGTATGGTGGTGTGCAACACAGAACTCAGACCGTAAAGTAACGAACAGGCGGCCACCACTGGCAGCAGCAAAAGCTTAGTGCGCAGACCGTAACGGGATGTGTCATCAAAGTTGCAGAAATCCCATATACTGTCATTTTTGCCAAGGAATATGTTTCGAATATGCAGCACTTGACTTTGGAACCAAGCAAAGTACGATAGTAGATATTGTAGTACCTTCGACACAAATAGCGCGAGGAGTAGCCCCACAAGCATGACGAAATTAATTTCAGACTCTTGCGGCCAGCTGCTGCTCGATGGTGTACGTTTACTGCGCGTTTCAATCACATTTTTCGTTTGAATACTGGCTTTGCTGTCCAATAGCATCGTGGAACTTTTCTTGCCCAACACACTGAATGCCGATGACATCGATTCATTGTACAAATCTTCGCTGAATGAATGTGATGAGCATTTGGAGGCGGAATCAGTGCGTGGAGAGGCTTTGTAATGCACACTGGGATTTCGTTCCGAGTTCAATGTGTCCGTGTCGTTGCTATCGCTTTCGTTCTGAATCATACTTGGTGGTCGTGCCGCATGCATCGACATGCGTTTTGACAAATTCTGCCAGTGCTTATTGCCATTTGTTGTAACCGTGCCCATCGGCGTCAAAGTATCGCTGCTATTACAGCTGTTTATGCCAATGACTCTTTTATTGTTGTTTATCTCGAAGGCACCACGCTTGTAATATGGAATGTTATTATTCTTATTCATCATACTGCCAATCAATGCGTTTAGATCAGAGTTCACATTGCGATTATCTGTTTGTGTGCGATTTTTACCGTTTTCACTCAATACAGTTGCATAACCGTTACGTACATCGGTAGAGTCATGGCTGGGGTTGCTTAGATGCGATTTACCATATTTAAATTGTAAATTTAGGCTCTCCTCGGTAACGGATTTATGTTCCGATTGCAATCCGATTTCATCACAGACTTTGAGCGTACGATCGTCGAAGACATCGGCGTTGGTGTTGAATCGATAGCCATCACTTGGACGCTGCATAATATCAAATATATGCAAGCTGTGCACAAATTTACTTGAATCTTTCAACTTGGATTAGAAACTTCGGCAATTTTTTCATTTGTATCAAAAAAATATGAAATACATTCAAAAGAAATGTGGATGAAATCAAGGCGTATTTAACAAGGTGGTGTTGGCCGTATATAAGTAAAAAATTACACTAACAAATTATACGCTGATGTCCATACTGTCATTGGTATGAATTACAACAAACACATCATTTTGACGTAATGGCTTCCACGGCGAAAAACTCAGCTGTCGCCCCAACACCATCTTGTTTAATACACCTTGGATGAAAAATTTTTGAAATAAATTTCCGGGCAAAGTGAAAGCCTACGTATGTATGTACGCGTATACCGTATACGTAAATCTGTATTTTAGCAAAAAGATTAGATATCTAATACTATTACATAAATAAATTTTTGTTTAACATGTTTTATTCAATCATTTTTACATAAAGCAACCTCTGGACCCGTTAGCTTATCGACAGGCCTTCAGCGGCATTCACAGGGAGCCAGTCTCAAGTTACGTAGACTCCAGACACCTGTGAATGCCGTTCTGGGCACACAACCACCAGACATAGACGATACGGAGCTTCGTCGGTCTCGGCAGACACGGACCTCAATAGCCCAACTTCGCTCTGGCTACTGCAGCAGGTTGAACTCATACCTGAGCAGATTATATGCAACACCCCACGACTCGAA